TGTACGTACTCACCGATGTGTGGTTCCGGGGCTTCATCAACTGCAAGATACTGTTCGTATCGAATGCGCATCTCTGCTTTGAGGTATGGAAACTAGCGCAAACGTCTCTTGTAAAGCCACATGGCAGAGGCTCCGAACCGTACGATGTGAGAGGACAATCTGCCGGACTGTTGGGGGCAAATCGGAATGAAGCCATGTGTGAAGTAACCCGGAGAAACTTGCTCAGCCTTACGCAAATTGACCCAGCTCCCCGGTTATGGAGGACGGAAGCGATTGACGGGTGCGGATGGTCTGGATGTTCGTCGCATTGCGATCCCGCTGGTCTAGACCTGATGGCTTGGGGTGTAGTACAGATGACGAGTAAGTTTGCTGTATGAGCCAACGAATCTTGACGATGGTAACGGTCGTATCCGGGCCGCACCCCAAATGGAATGGTCTGTGGGCCAACTTCCACAGCGAACGGTGTTGCGTCATCTTATAACCGTATTCGTTCGCAAGCGTCGATGGGGATAATGCTCCGAGCATACGCGCATCGACACTGGAAGCGATCCGAGAGGCTCGGCATCTGGGTAGAAAATGTTCATGGAACGTACTCAGTATGTCGGCCGAGGTTGTGGACGTCACGTTAAAGGCGCCTGACTTAGAACGTTGAAGTCAGAACACGTGGCTGCATGTGAAGCCAGTGACACAAGCTCGTAGCAGTGGAACGTGAAGTAAGACAGTCGCGATCTATGACATGACAAGTCGTGATGAAGTGAAATGTTGTGATATGCTTTTATTGATAAACGCCTGACCAACCCACCCGGGTACAGGTCATAAAATGCTACCCAAAACGCCGATATGTATGCAAAGGGTATCGCTGAATGCAGAATCAAAAACAACCTCCCAGCCTTCATGATCATGCAATCGTTTTCATGCAGTCATCATCATGTGTGTCCGTCATCAGTACCCGTGGCCTGCCACTGGAGGGCACAGTGTATGTAACAAAAGAAAATGCAGTAACAGAATCAAAGCAGACGCGGCTTTACACCGTCTATAGACCCCTAAACTTGGCACCATTCCGGTGGTAGATGCTGTGCACTGCGCGAGGAGTGATAGCTGGGGGAGCGACTGCCGGGGGAGCGACTGCCGGGGGAGCGGGCGGAGTAGCGACAGGCGCTGTTGGAGCAGGCGCTGTGACAGTGACCATGACAGTGTCAGTGACCGTGACAACGCCGTCGTTGCCGGCTGGTGGTGTTGGTGCAGCACCGGGGCGACCGGAGAGTGTAGGAATCTCCATAGTAGCACTGGAGGCTGCGGAGTTGCTGGGAGATGGCAGCTGGGCGGTAGCAGAGGGAACGATGGCAGAAACCGGAGGAGAGTTGCTGGGGGCTGGGGGTGCAGCACTTGGAACGGGTACAGCGCTGGTGGTGACTGGAGCTGTAGGACCTGCTGGCGAAGTGCTGTTGGTGGGGAAAGGAGCTTCGCCACCAGAGCCGGAGCCAGAACCAGAACCTCCACCTGGCAGTGAAATCTCGGTCAGGATAGGGAAGTCCCACTCGTTCTCGGCAAGGTCGGTGAGAATAGCGGTTCGTGAGGCGAAGTCGGAGACGGCGGCTGTGCCTGCATCTTGCTGGACAAGAGCGAACTTGGGCGAAGCATCGGCGGACAGGGCAACATCCGGGGATGTGACATCGACGTCCATGCAAGTAGTGTACCACTCGTTCTTGCCCTTTGGAAGTTCGTCGGTACCGCCCTCCTTCAAACCACCAGGCCTGGTATTCCACTGCCATGTCCAGTACAAGGTGTATGGCTTGCCTAGCTCAGCGCTCTCCGGAATCTGGACATTTGTTTCACAGAACTGCGCGTAGTTACCAGGTTGGCCTTCGACATCCTGACCGAAAGCATAGGCCGGGAACTCTTTCGAACGCTCCTTGAATGTGGGCGTGTCGTTTATCTCGTAGCATCGACCGTCGTTGTAGTTGTTCACGGCAAGCAGCTTGCCACGCTTGTCTCCGCCACTCCCGTCTTTGTTCCACTCCATGACTGTAGAAATCTTCTCGTCCTCCTTCGGTTCAGTAGTGCCGTACACCCAGATAGTGCCTCCCGCCTCGACAGGTGGCTTGCCAAGCATGTGACCAGAAGGCTCTGTAACGTGACCGTTTTCCATATACCGCAATGCGATAAAGCCACCAGGCGGTGCTTGGAGACGCGGATACTTCTCTTGAGATTGGACCGGTTTTCTTTGCGAAGGGTGGCACAATAGCGTTTTCTTGCTGATGAATGCGCCTTCCGTCAACGGGGGAACTAGATTGTTCATGGAGAGGTCGCCGTTGTAGCCTTTGTCGGTCTTTGCGACGTATCCTCGTGGGTACCCGTATTGGCCGACGTATTCACCCTTGTCGTTGATGTTGCGCATCTGCTCGATCCAGCTGTGGCCCATAGCGACAGGGAAGGCGACGAGCGCGGCGGTGAGGGTTCTCCGTATGCTAGGCATCTTGATGTGTGTCGCAATGTAGAAAGCGAAATCTTGCCCTGCAAGAGTAGGTGTGGGATGGTCGTTGCCGGATGTCTTATCAATACTGGCGATACGTATATCCTGACGTGAGTGTTGTTGTCGAAAGCGGGACAGCTGGGAATTGGTGTACAGGAAATTATATCGTGACGAAAAGTGAAGTATCGGCTTGGCGGGCACTGTGAGTGGTCGCTCCGTCAATAGTCGTGTGACTCAATCCGTCTTCACCTCGCACGTAACGATGCTATTGTTCAATGACAATAGTACCGGACCTTGTGAACGACGCACTGCGCGCTCTAGGCTACAAGAAAATAAGAAATGCAAGAGAAGAAGTGAAGACGCACAAGCCGGATGTGAACACAAACTGCAATATCACGCGGCCATGGCCCTTTATTCAAGCGGGTGAAGGTAGTGAGACAGACGCTGTTGAGCGTTGTAAAATCTCCGGCCTAGAAGGGAAGAAGCGACAGGAGCCAATAGAGAAGGAGACACACGAGGTGTCGAAACACAGCGCCACTCCACGCGACGCCGCACGCAAGCTTTCGAGCCTGGCTGTATGGGTGTAGGATGTGCGTTTCAACGCTGGCCGATGCTGTAGCCGCCAGCCATGGCTTTCCCGTCCCGCAGCGTGGTCGCGGCGTAGCGCGCTCTTGCTGCAGCCTCCCGTACTCTCCGGCGCGAAGATCGGCGTCTGTTAGTCGGTAGTTGGCAATACATGTGCATGGCAGGGCTACGCTAGCCATCCTCAGACATCAGAGGGGCCGTTGAGTGTCAGAGGACCGTGTGCCGTTGATCTACAACACAACGACGGAAGCTAGGCATCATCTAGATCGATGCGATGAAAGTGGAGATGAAATAACGATAGATAATGAGAGCCAGTGATTGCGATATTGTGAAGCTTTCTGCATCGCCCATCCGTGGACCGTCGTGAACCCACAAGGCGCGTGACGCGTACGAAATCACAAGTGGGTAGCTAAGGAAACACCCGAATTGCCAGAGAGCGAGCCTAGATCCATGCGACGACAGGTGAATGCGTGCCGGTGCAGCGCTTCGAGAAGGAAGGTGAACCCGCAAGCGACGGGTGGTGGGGTGAAGGTAGTTTGGTGGAGGCTCCACGTTGTTTCAGGTCAGAGCGCACGCGGGCGTTGATTGGTCATCGGCCGCCACGCTAGGCTTCAACCTAGGAAATAGAGATATCGTCTGATTGGCGCGCATCTCTCCATTTCACGATGCCCGCCAGCTAGCCATTTCCCACGACCAGATTGACGCCCATCCAGTCTCTATATTTGACAAGCGAGATTCCAGACACCTGGCCAGCTTCATGCGCCTTTTTTCTTTTCCGATGTCGAGCACAGGCCGCGAGATGAGATGTTTATTGCGGTACCCTCTCATCCATACAGGCACGCTCCTATCGCTCCCTCGTGTTTCATCGATAAGGGAAAACGGCGGGGCGCGGAACAGCCCTGAGGCATAGCAAACGGCATCAACGGGGGCCTGGCCAGCATCCCCGCCTGTCAAAACGGCTCGCAGATTACAGGAACCAAACCCGAGGCTAACCACGTCGGATGTCCTTAGCAGGTGACCTCGTGCGGTGGCTACCCAAACCTAAAGGCCGAGATGTGTCTTCTGGAAGGCCATTTCATCTCTCACAATGTCCTTACATCTTGAAATGTTATTGCAAACACGTCTCGACAGTGGGGTTTCGAGGTTAGCCATGGAAGGTATGCCAGGTGGTGCCTGTTGGTGTCGTCGCTTTCTGGGTACAGTGGCAAATTGATGTGGGTAGCATCTTCACACGTTGGCGTTGAGACCATCTACAACTTGATCAAATATGCTCACGCAAACAACCACCTGCTGTCTTAGCCGTCAATATGCAATAGCTTGGAATGGCTGGTTGAGTGCCGGGCACAACAGACGTGAAGAGCTTGTCCATCACAACGACAACCTCATATAAGTACTCCAAGAAGATGATCTAGCGGTAATAAGCTGCTGTCAAGACCAACAATACAATACTGCCACGCTCGGAAACATATCACAAGCCGAAACTACGATTATATCTTGCCCGAACTGCCTGCTTTCACTACTTGAACATGTGCCAATACACACTCGTCGTCTACACATGCGCTCATACATCCCGCAAAGGAACCTTTTGGTGCCCAGCAAGCCTCAAGTCGTCACCAAACTGCTTTGGACTCTGCAGCCGCGCGCAGTCAAATATCATCGAAGTGCGGTACGAAGAAGCTTGCAATGCGTGTCTACTGAGAGAGCATCAGGAAGCAAGTGCGAAAGAAGTTGAGATACGGAGAGATGAGGGCAGACAGTAAAGTCACGGGGGTAGTGAGTGAGGAAAGAGGAGCATTCTTAATCAAGCTAGCGTTCTTTGGCAATCTATGGTGCACTCTGAATACTTATCTTTGCAACCTCAACGTTCTTACTACCTACTTCTCCCAACATTACCATCTATCGGACAAACCACCACACCACTACATCATCTACACCCACAGCAATGGCCTCAAACTCCCCCTCATCCCCGCTAGAGTGGCTCGGCGCGATGCTGTGAGTTCTGACTGACTGTCTGTAGTGCATGTGAGACATATACTGACTTCGTGTAGTAAGGAGGCCCATGCAGCCCAGCGGTCAGCGGAAAACGAACTCGACGAAGTCAAGCGCCAGCTTCGTACCGCCCAGGAGACCATTGCAGCGCAGAAGCAGGAACTCATGAAGTCGAGGCAAAACCTGGAATTGGCGAGGACAGAGACGAAAAATGTGAGAGACCTATTGGTAGAGTAATGGCAAGGAGTACTGAGAACTCGCAGCAGTTCCAACAGCTGGCATTCCAAAAGGCTGCGCAGCAAATCCAGACTCAAGGATTTCCGCAAGGCCAAAATCCGCAGACATACCGCAACCAGCTCGCGCAGCACTATTTCCGCCAATTGATCCGGTATCGGCAGCAACATCAACAGCAGCGTGAGGAGGAAGGACAGTGAGCTGTGAGTGGGATGGAGGCTGTTGAACATAGTGCGGACCGCTAACATGTTCAGTGTCGTCGAGACATGCATTGCGAGCAAGAGGAAAAGGACCAACATGTACAATGCAATGGATTAAGGGAACTTTTCACACGGCAGGGAGGGGTGCGGCGAAGTAGGCAGTGACCGTCTAAGAAATTTCACAGCATCACGATAATGCCCTGCATGCATTCAAGACTCTTCTCGCAGCATCAATCCCTTGACATGTGATTCCTTCCCTTCGTTCACATGAGCTCTTGCATAACTTGACAACTACACTGTGCGCAACTCCTTTCCACTTACTCCCCTACCTCACTACCACCCAACCGCCGGTAATAAGCACCGCCATCTCCCCGACATAAGCCATGCCAACCCTCAACATCAAACCAGAAAACTGTATCTGCGCTGCCACCATCCACTCCTTCTCCTGCCACTGCCATAAGCATGCCTACACCGTTAGTTGCCCAGGATCAGCTCGCCATCATCGCCCAGCAATCGTAGGCGTCGAGCTACATCTGAAGCCGTGCGAAACATGTGCGGAGAGACTGGGAGATGTGGAAAGGGCATGGCGGGAGAGGCGAGGGATATGTCCGTATAATGATGTTGAGACGAAGGAGGAGGTGGGGATAGAAGAGACAGAGACTCCCGGGTCAGAGGAGTACGAGGATGCGGTTTCGATCATGACTGAACATTAAACGAGCACCGCATGCCGGCAAAGATACAATACCCAAGTACAGCAAGAAACGCAATAGTGACCCAGAAGTCTACATCCCATCAAAGATCTACAAACTATCACTTTTGATACCGATGTAGACTCCAGGGTGTTTGGTTTTCCTTGGATGGGGTGAGAGATGTGTGTGGCACGCCAATGCAGCGTCGTCGGCAACCCATGGTACCGCATCGCGAATCGCGCGCACATTACCAATGTATGCTTCAGACCCCGAGGGGCCTTGCACAACCTCACAACACTCTCGCTTTTGATCAACGATGTATAACTGCCGAACTCGGTTTCAGTAATCGCACCTCTTCAGAACAAGCGCATTCTGTCCCCACCCGCATCATCGCCAGTTGCGAGCGTCGCAATGCCGCACTTTTTATTCACTCGTCATAAGCTTGACGTGTTTCCGCGTTACGAGATACCGACAAAGACTCGCTTCGCGTACTACTGCTTGTTCTCCCTAGAATCGGTAGCTTTCTTCCAGATGCGACCTCTACGTGAAGAAACCATCGCCGCAGGATTTTGCTGGTTCATGATTCCCGCACATTTACTCTGGATGGCGCTTCCCTTATTCTCCGTCCTAAGATTCTACTCCGTCAATGACCACTCTATCGATGCCAATGGTCATCTGCTTCCGAGACAGGTAGACGCGAGTCCTCCTACATCATACACGATACTACTTACGATGACGCTTGTCCACCTCGGTCAGATCGCAATCTGGACACAAACCTACCTCGGCACGGCTCCCCCCTTCCCCAAAGACATCCGCGCACTCGTTCAAGAATGCACGCTCCACTTCGCAATGTCCTTCTGGGTTCTCTCGGAATGTGAGTATATGCGCGCATACTGGCATTCGCGCCTCCAAGAGTGGCCCGTCAATCTCATCACACTTCTCCGATCTATCCCCCGAGCCAATTTCGACCTTACTTTCCTCGTATCACGAGACTGTTGCAGTTACCGAATAATGCCACCGAGGGATGGGAGGACATCTATAGAAGCTCTCTGTCGAAGTCTGCTTGACTTGTTCGACATCATTGTTTTTACGTGGATGGACTTGGTCTTCCTTCTTTACCCTGTCAAGCGCTTCGCGAATCCCGGTCCTAGTGGTGATACTTTCTCAATCGCAAACGGGTGTTTTGGAGTGTTCTTTGCACCGCGATCGGACTGGTTTATCTTGCTTGATATTGCACTCCAGCGTCCGGTCCGACTATTGAACAGGATGCTGTTTGAATCGGCTGTGGAGGGTGTCAAAAGAGGTCTGGATTGGTGGCGGCGGCGTGATCTACATGGGAGAGCTGATAGAAGCGACCCCGAGAGTACGAGTGACATGTCCCCGTTGTACATCCCTCCTGCCGACTGGTCTGACCTCTGGGTCAATAGCGAAGAGATTGCCTGGTGGTCGGTATCTCGACAACTCTACGAAACGCCATGGAACGACTGAGACACTTTGAACCAATATGGCACTTCCCCCGGACAATTCACCTCTCAGCCTCGCGGAAGCTCTCCATCGCTTTTTGGCATACCTAGGTATCTCCGCCGACGTCGCGTCGAATCGGACACCTTCGTTAGATTCGAAGACGAAAGCGAAGACTCCAGTATGGGCAGCTCCAAGTGACTGTGGAAAGATACGAGCCAAACGAAAAGGCTCTGGTCAATACATGAAGTGCCTCAATATTACACAAGGAGCAGGCTGAGCTTTGGGCCGAGACCTCGAGGAGGATTAATCGAGTGGAAGGCGAATGGAAGAAGGAGGTAGAGCGCGTCGCCTCGGGGATAAGATACTCGTGGTGGTTGCTTTCGTCATGGAAGGTCGCCGTAGTCGCCCCTTCCTCGTTCGGTCAGGTCGGTCAAATTGTTCACGATAGTACGTAGGATAGCAGGCGCGCTGGGTCTACAAAGGCCATAGTTGCGCCATTGAAGCGCTGCAAGCAGCGAGGGTCTCGATTTTGACCACAATGAATCTGTAGTGATACTGTAAATCCATCGTTAATGTCGAATCGTAAGCATGCCAAAGAACGAGTGAAGGTGGCGTTTCTCGAGCATTCCTTGGCACTCTTCAGCTTTGTCAGCCACTAGCGTCCGCGACATTCAGCCTAGCTTCGAGCTCCGCGCATCGCGACATTTTCCCGACACCGCGCGCGCGACAACGTCTTCACACCACGCCATCGCCGTCGACCTCCGCAAACTCGTCGCGACCACCCATACACCTCATTCAACACTCCGCATAACCTCACCATGGCCAACTACCTCGCCTCCATCTTCGGAACGGAGCAAGACAAAGTCAACTGCTCCTTCTACTACAAGATCGGCGCGTGCCGCCATGGCGACCGCTGCTCGCGCAAACACGTCAAGCCCTCGTACTCGCAGACGATCCTGCTGCCGAACCTCTACCAGAACCCCGCGTACGACCCCAAGAACAAGATGAACCCGCAGCAGATGCAGATGCACTTTGATGCGTTTTACGAGGATATCTGGTGCGAGCTGTGCCAGTACGGGCTTGTGGAGGAGCTGGTAGTCTGTGACAATAACAACGATCGTACGTTCCCTTCTTTTCTTTATAGTTAAAAGCGCTGCTAACACAACCTACAGACCTCATCGGCAACGTCTACGTGCGCTTCAAGTACGAAGAAGACGCGCAAAAAGCGTGCGACGCGCTCAACTCGCGCTGGTACGCCGGCCGCCCCATCTACTGCGAACTTTCGCCCGTCACCGATTTCCGCGAGGCCTGCTGTCGCCTCAACAGCGGCGAGGGCTGTGTCCGCGGCGGCTTCTGCAACTTCATCCATCGCAAGGAACCGAGTGCCGAGTTGGATCGCGAGCTGGATATGTGCACGCGCAAGTGGTTGAAGGAGAGAGGCCGGGATGCCAGGAGTATGAGCAGGAGTCCTACGCCGCCTGCGACGAAGAGCCGGTTTTAGGGAGATTTGCTGGCCGAGAGGGTGAGGATGGGGCAGGGTTGAGGAGGAACGAGTGTGAAAGGAGTTTTGGCGTTGTGCATGCTCGCGCTTTTGGGACTGAGATATCCGTTGCGGGCATGGCGTTGCAGATTGTCATTGTACATTAGGTTGAGAACCATGCTAAAGTGATTATGCGCTGGACTAGATACACAAAAGCACTCTGTCGGTTCACATCAATCTGTTCGTATGCCTGGATGAACTTCGTGAGTCGTGCGCAATCTCAATGGAACTGACCATCAAAGATGTGCACTTCAGTCGTCTTGTGTTCAGGTGTTTCTTGCAAGTCAAGTCACGTACGCGCGATATGGTGAAATGTTCTCGAAGAAAAGAAGCAGATATCGCATTGGTGGCCGTGTAAGACCTGGTATCATCTGAAATATAAACATCGAAAAGAAAGAAACCGCGTATAGCAGCAACGAGCGTCCAGGTGCTCAAAATACCAGCCCGACTCAACCCTCAGAAAAGACATTAAACGCCCCATACGCCCCGTCTATCCCAAAACACACTCATATATACACATTCCTTCATCCCTCCTTCTCCTTCCATCCTCAAATAATCTTATGCTGTTTCAACACAATAATCGTAACAACCACACCCGCCACAAGCAGCAAGAAACATATCCAAAAACACCAGCAAATCCACGTCCTTTGCTTGGCCTTTCTCTGCTGACCGGCCAACCAACTATCTCTATGTGACGCGTCAGCCGTGATGGTCGTGGTGAAGTGGAAGCGCGAGGAAGGGCGTCCGGAGAGGTGGCTGAGGGAGAGAGTGGAGAGGTTGGGGGTGCGGAAGAAGGAGTGTGGACGCGAGGATGCAGATGGGTGTGGGTGTGTGGGGGATGAGGGGAGGGGGGAGAAAGGCGGTTGGTAGGCGTTTTGCGTGGTGGTGGAGGGGAGTTCTTGGATGGAGATGGAGGGGCGGAGGAGGGGTTTCGTGGACGGCGTCTTTTGTAGTTTGGAGCGGGGTCTCTCTTTCTTTTTGTCTTTGTCCGTCTCCTTCTCCTTCTCCGCTGCTTGCGTATGCATTCCGCCCGAGAAGATCTCCGCTGATAGTGGTGACAACGGATTTGATGCGGCGTAGGACGACCGTGTGGATTGCAGTTGGACCATGGGCGGAGATGTGATGGGTAGGTGTGTTTGGGAAGTGGGGGATCCGAGGGGAGGGGATAGGGAACTGCTGACGTACGATTGCTTGAGGCCCTGGGTTTGCGTGGTTTTTTCTAGGTCGTCTTGGTGGACGGCTACGCTGAAGCGTTTCCAGAATTGGGGGTCGCGGACCATTTTGGTATGTGTGTGGGTGGACTAGAT